GGTGTCAGAAATACATCGAGAACCTTAGAAGCCAAGCCATTTCAGACAAAAGAAATGGATTATACTCTAAACTGTTGGCTTTTTATTTAATTATGTTAGACATATCGCCAAATCTAAAAATTTGTTTTTAGTTATTTCTTCATCCTAGACAGACTTAACCAGTTCTTTGCATCTTTTTGGTCGTGCGTCAGCTTCAATAAGGCATCCAAAAGGTATTTAATACATTCTGGATACTTTATGAACATGGGAATGTCCTACACTCTATGCATCTAAAATCCATCTAATTTACATGGAAAAATACATCCAAGGTGCCTTGAATAAATATTCGTGAAATGTTTATTACAAAGATACTATGAGTGCATATAATTGTTATTTTGGCGCCTTTGTAAGGCATTGTAATGCATCTTTTACATGAAAATATCATATTGATAAAAAATGAGGTTGCCTTTAAAGTGCATTTACTTTTAAAGAATGTACCTCATTTTTCACGGTGTATAGTCTCCGATGTTATTTGACTGTTTTATTCATTCTTATAGTGGTTAAGTGTTGGAAAAAAATTATCATTATGGGAAAATGGCAAAGAAGTATTTGAAATCAAACATGAATTAGGGCATTTATTCACCCAATGGCGGATCTACGATGCAAGTGGAAAAGAAATTGGTCTGCTAAAGCATAAAGCACACCTTGGGGGTGATAGATACAAAGTAAAATCAGATTTTGGAAAATACAAAATCGAAGGTAAAAAACGTTCTTAAACAACATACGGAGTATATTACTAAAAATCTTTTATATTTTAGGTAATTTTATTGACCGTACATTTACGGTGGGAAAAAATGGCCACACCGTTGCTGAGATACATAAAGATCTGGATCTTGTTCATGATAAATATACGATCAAAGTGTATCCAGGCGAAAATCCTGGCTTCATTCTGCTTATGTGTATTGCTATCGACAATATTCGACATCATAACAAAACGTAGAATCGTACAAGTAACAATTTTTTCTCGTCGAACAAATTTCTTATTATTATGATGTTCTCCATTTTTCGTATGTGTTATTGTAATTAATCATCTGGTCAATAATATTTTTCATTTTTTATTCAATAAATGCTACTTATTTCAAAAATGAAGTGTGAAGAGGAAATATATACAAGGCAATAAATGTGTATGCTCTCTTTTCGTTGGCGTTTGGTTAATGTCATGATTTTGCTACACATCTATCCTACACTGTCCCAAAATATATATGTTACAGTGGAAATTCAAATTCCACTAGTGGAAAATTGAAATTTTCACTGAATTCTTATCAGTGAAAATTCAAATTTAAAATTTAACTAGTGGTGAATAAAATTTTAATTTCCACTATAATGGGATTTTAAATTCTACTAGGCAAAAATGAGTAACAATCTCCACTACAGTGGAAATTATAATTTGACTGATATGATGCTGATAGTAAAAGGAATACCGTTATTTTATTGAAAATACATAAAATATTTTTTAAAAACAACATTAGGTATTTGAATACACTTTTTTTTTGGCGTGACATTTTGTACAACATTACACGCCTTTAACTCGACATGGAGAACTTTTTGTCGCACAGTCTCGTTTACATTTGCACATTTTCGCAATTATATTTCCACCTGTGTTAGAGAATGTTCTGCTGTACAATCTGACGCTCCTCCAACTTTATTCTGTCAGTGAATGAAACAAACATGAAAAACAAATTGATACAATAATCGACGAAACAAAATGTGACTTGTTGAGTGAAGTGAAAACATATATATATATGAGAGAAAAGTGTATAGGGGATGGATGATGAATAGGCTAACTGTCTAAATAAAGGAAACAGATAGGGAATTGTGCAGTCACACAAATAATGTGTCACTGTACCATATATAAATGTGAAACTCGACTTGATTAATTAATTCTATTTACTGTCCATTTCAAAATAGAAGGCGAGTGATTGCGAGCTGAATAACTCGAGAACGCGTGGATTCGATACCCAGATCTCTTATCTACAATTCTACGCAACTCCCAGATTTCTCCGACGTTTTATTCAAACACTACAGATCGCACACTGAAACCTCTGAAAAATCGAGTTTTCAGCCCCAAAACTATAATTTTACGCACTATATATGCTCAAAAATGTTGGCCTCATAGGTTTTCGACATCGCTGATCATCATGGTAAAGTTTGTTTTGCTATACAAAATACTTTATTTTTCTTCATTGTTAAAAGCGGCTTCAATTGGGATTGTTATCAGTCGATTTAATCTTGAATTTAACCTTAATTTGTAGTTCTGGAAGTTTTATTTTCATCTCCTGACATTTGCGTGGTCAGCAACCTTTAATACATGATTATGATTAAATTACATGACCGAATTAAATGCTAGACTGATTGATGCATGAGGTATTAAGGTGAGGGGCTTTCTCTAATTGTTGTATATCTATAAAAAGTGTATGCATCAATCAGTCTAACATTTAATTCGATCATGTAATTTAATCATAATCATGTATTAAAGGTCCTGACCATGCAACTATCATGTTTTGGGCTGAAAACCCGGTTTTTCAGAGGTTTCAGTGTGCGATCTGTGGCGTTTGCATACAACGTCGGAGAAATCTGGGAGTTGCGTAGAATTGTAGATAAGAGATCTGGGTATCGAATCCACTCGTTGGAATCAAACATTCATCAAGCCGTCTACGTTTGGTAAGATAGTTTTTCAAAGATCTTCCTGCAGATCCCCTTAAGATCCATTTGAAAAGTTTTGTTTTCACATATGGTTATGTTCCCTACTGTTGACTACATGATAGCGAAAATCCGACCTCTATTGCTGTCTGCGTTCTCGAATTGTTCAGCTCGCAATCACTCGCCTTCTATTTTGAAATGGACAGTAGTTAATTTTACAACCACTTTGTAGTTACTAGAGACTCAGACAGAATTGATTTCTGAAAGAATCAAAAGAAGATACCACGACCGATTTCGACCTTTCTCAAGGATATCGTCAGGTGGTTTCCATCGACAGAGTTAAGGCACGACAAGCAACACAACTCTGTCACACCGTATGAGTGTGTTACTATTCCTTGTTCTTATCGAACAATGAATGATGATAACTTTCACACAACGAGAATGAAGCACGAGACCACTGTACAGTGCACGTGTTCTTCTTCTTAACATTAAGTATTTCTTTTCATTCTACCAGACATGATTCATCCTTTTAAACTTAAACCGTACCTAGTAACTTTCACTTAACAACCGTTGATATAAATGTAAAAAGCACCATACATAGTGTCACTGTATGTATATACAATGAAAGATAAAACGAAAGAAAAAGATCATCAGTGAGAGGCATGATCGCTCACAATGTGTACTAGCTTAACCTTTACAAACTTAGATGACTGTAACAACGAGTAAACATTTGTAATCAATAGCATGCATATCGGCGAAATTACACTTGGATAAATCTGATAAATCATGGATACTAAAAGCAACTGACAACACACTTATCAATGAACACACTTTGTACAACACTGTATCATTCGACGGTTATTGAATAGACAGCACTTTACATGGTCGAATTCTTGGCGTTGTATTGGTACGATAAATTTATTCAGTTGATAATGCTGAATCTCAGGTAAAATACTTTCGTTGAAGAAGGAAAAAGTAAAGAATATGAATTTTTTTGAAACTAAAAGATTTTTAGAAATTTTAGACGCTTGGAATATTTCTAACTTTTCTTCTCTAAAAAGTTGCTTTTAAAAATTAAAAATAACTTTTTCTTACTCAGCTTGATGCCCTCTATCCAACAATGTATAAATATCTCAAAAAGAAACTTTCCTGAAATTTTGGATTGTTGAAATCTTAACTACCTCTAGAACACGTTTAACGTCTTAACGAAGAGTAATTTATTCTTATCAATCTACCGACTAGAATTATTTCGGTCTTCTAATGCATTCACGTCAATCATTGAACAATGATAATAATCATCTATTACCATCGATTGACAAAAAAACGGTGAAATGACTGATATCGTAGATTCAAAGAAACAAATCGGCTTGTCCACGTAACTCGAGACTTCGCTGATCAAGTTTTTGAAAAAATTATTTTAGAGTAGAACTGATAGGAGCATATCACTAGATGCAGTTTTCGACGCTGATTACGAATCTCACATTAG